TCGCTCGGGGCGGGCCGCGACTTTCGGAGCTCGCTCGGGCGCGCGCGCGGTAGTGGCGCTTCTGGTCCAGCGTGAGCTCGACGTCGACGACGACCTCGACCTTGCGCGGCAGGTCCGCCGCGACGTCCTCCTTGACGCGGCGCAGGAGGTGGGGCGCCAGGAGCGCGCGGAGCTCGGCGGCGCCGGCCTACCAAGCATGTCGGTAACGATTTTTCATCGTTTTCCCAGCCGAAATCTCTCGAAAATCGTCACGGCCCCAGGACGCTGGCGCTGGCGCCGTCGACGGCGCCGAAGCGCGCGCGGAACGCGTCGCGCGTGCCGTCGCCAAAGGCCGGGGAGGCCGGCTCGAGGAAGTTGAGCAGCGTCCAGAGCTCGTCCGTGTCGTTCTGGAGCGGCGTGCCCGTGAGCAGGACGGCGAAGAACGGACCCGGCGCGGCGAAGAAGACTGGACCCGGCGCGCCCCGGCCCCGGCGGACGCAGCGCCGGAGCGCGTCGAGGAGCCGGCTCCGCGCGTTGCGGAGCCGGTGCGCCTCGTCGACGACGACGCCGCCCCAGGCCACGGCCCCGAGCACGTCGCCGTCGCGGAGCAGCACGTCGTACGTCGTCACGAGGACGCGGAACGGCGGCGCGGCGCCCCGCGCGGCGCCGGCCCGCCCGGGCGGCGCGGCGGCCCACTCGTGGGCCCGCCGCAAGTCCCGCGCGTCGCGGCCCGCGTCGTGGTACGACGCCCACGGGAGCGCCGTCCACGCCTCGAGCTCGCGCTCCCAGTGGCCGATCGTCGACAGCGGCGCGACGACGAGGCACGGCCCGCCGCCGCCGCGCCGGAGCGCGCCGTCGAGGAACGTCGCGACCTGCGCCGTCTTGCCGAGGCCCATCTCGTCCGCGAGGATGGAGCCGCGGCCCGCCGCCGCGTTCGCCGCGAGCCACGCGGCGCCGGCGGCCTGGTAGCCGCGGAGCGGGGGCCGCCCCGCGCCGCGCGCCGCCCGCGGGCCGGCGCCGAGGCCCGCCCTCGCCGCGACGCGCGCCGCGGCCGACGCGGCCGCCGCGCGTCGCGCGCCGCGCGCCGCCCGTCGCGCTCCGCGTCGCCGCGCCGCGCCGCGACCGCCGCCGCGGCGCCGCCGCCCGCGGCCGGCGGCGCGACGTCCGGCTCCGGCTCCGCCGGCTCCGCCGGCTCCGCGCCCGCGCTGGCCGCCGTCGCGCCCGCCGCCTCGCGCCCGCCGCCGTCGCGCCCGCCGCCGTCGATCCCGCCGCCGTCGCTCCCGCCGCCGTCGCTCCTGCCGCCGTCGCTCCCGCCGCCGTCGCTCCCGCCGCCGTCGCTCCCGCCGACGCGGCAGTCGACGACGCGCTCGACGCCGCCGCCGCCGTCGTCGTCGTCGCTCGACGCCGACGCGCCGCCGCGCTCGTCCCGCGCGGCGACGTAGCGCTCGAGGGCCCGCTTGCTCCGGCGGGAAGCGACGCCGAGGCGCTCCGCGCTGTACCACGCCGTCCGTGAGGACCCGCGGTGGCGGCAGAGGTAGTCGTAGGCGAAGACCGCGTCGGCCGCGCGCGCCGGGGCGGCGCCCCAGCATCCGAAGACGCCGCCGGCGCCCGGCCGCGCGCGACGCCGCGCGACGACGCGGTCGACGGCGCGGCCGCCGTCGTCCTCGCGCTCCTCGCCGAACGTGTGCAGCGCCGGCGGCCGCGCGCCGCCGCCGCCGCCGCCGATGGCGAAGGCGTGGCCGCAGTGCTTGCAGCGGGCGGAAGCGTTGCCGACCTGGGTGCCGCAGGACGGGCAAGTTTTGCCCTTGCGCGGCGCGCCGCCCGGCGCGCGCGCGGGCGGCGACAGCTCCGCGTCGAGCTCCTTGGCGTCGACGTAGTTGACGAGCTGCGTGTTCTGCCTTCGCTGACGCTTCATCGCGGCCGAAGCAAGGCTCATCAGTTCGAATTAGGGATCCCTAATATAAATATTAAATATTTAGATAATACAATCACAGGGCCCCTCTACTGGGACTACTACTAGGCTTGCCTCTAGGCCCCTAGGCTCCTTCCTCTTCCTTAATTCAATAGAAAGGGCTGATTGACATCGGTCTGACTATTGTCAGGGTCTGGTGCTATACACCAGACTCAAGTATGGTCGCGTGTTGCTGAGGACTCCGAACGCGAAGCTCAGCCAGGGCATGGTCCGCGTGGCCAGGTAGCCGATGGCGCCGAGGGCGCTGTCCATGTTCTCCCGGGTGATGCGGCCCGGCCGGCCGCCCGAGGGCTGCTCGGTGTTTCCTGCGTTCCAGTCCGTCGACAGGGGCGTCTTCACGGAGGACGTCCGAGCGGGCGAAGCCGAACTTGGCGCAGGTCTTTGAGGCGTACTCCGCTTGGTGGACGCGAACGCGCCCGGGCTCGACCTGGAACTGGAGCCCGAGGTAGTCCTCGCCGCCCTCGGTCATCAGGTTCAGCCCCGCAACTCCCCTTAGCATAAACCGTGGAGAATTAAAGTAGTACGAGGGGAGAGAGGAGGGGCCTAACTAGGGACACTCTCATATTTCTCTAACTAAGGAAAACTCTCTAGTGGGTGAGAGAGGGGAAGCTCAGTGTGCTACCTTACGGTAAAATTTTAGCGCAGTCATCATATAGTAACTGATTATAAAGGAGGGGAACGGGAAGGAGAGCCTAACTAGGGTAGGTACAGTACTAGCATGAAAAAAACGCGAGGATCCGCGACGACCGATCGCTAAGGGACGCTTAGTACGCTTACTCGGACCTGCTAAACTGCGGGTGAACGGGGAAATTAGACAGAGTAACATTTTTGAGTTTTGAACTACTGGGGGGGGGGGCGAATGGGGTGCCCGGGTCCTACGCCCCAAGATGATCCAGCCCCCCGAATAATCAGCTGCGCTTGTATGTCTGAACCAGAGTGGCGTCTCCATGCCCCTCCACTCTGGATCTAATTGTGAGCGTGTGTCTTGTAGTGTCGAGCCGATGTTCTACGTGGATGATATGGCTACTGCTTCGCTTGATGAGAACGAGCTCGCTGGTATCATTGTTCCACGACAAGGAGTCACGAGAGACAAAGTCACCATTTTTCATTTCGACCGACGGGCCATTGAGGGTATAAGACACGTCGGTATTTTGCAGGCGCGATAACACGGAAATGTTGATTTTATCATCGTCAGCAGAGACAATATAAGACATCGACATGTTGGCAACCTTGATGCGTGCGAGGGTCCCGAAGCCCAACGCCCGGAGATGGCTGTCCCAGTTGTCCGACTGTACAAGACTCCAAGCCCCAAACATATCCTGCACTCGTGGCATCTCTTATGAGTCAACAGAATCTTCTACAAAGCGGCAATCTGCGACGCCAGGTGTTTCGACGAGTGGATCCACATGTGGCTCCTCTACACCCCAGCAATATTAGGTGTGATTCCACCGATCACGCTCCAGTCCCTCTGCAGCATCAGAGTTTCCGACTCTGCGGAAGTCGAGGCTAGCACCATCAACAGATACGCTTAGTTGGTCGCCGACGACCTGGAATTTCCATCGGAAATCTGCGCAGCGGTGTCGGGGCGAGTTGCCTAACCCTGCCGACCAGTCCCTGTAGACCGGAGGTCTGGTTGGCTTCACTTCTACGCCGAACTGAGGGCGGCTACGGAATACTTGCAACCCAACAATGCTGTCGCCGTCGAGGTCGAACGAACATGTAACAGCAAGTGTGGATTGCCAGTTTTTGACACACGCTTCGTGATCAACAAGGCCCAAATTATCGTCTGGTAACAAAGGTCGTGATTTGTCCTCAAGCTGCAGGCACAGTTTTCCATTACCGATGAATAGAGAACCCCCGGTGAATGTTATCGAGGTTGAAGCCACCAAGCGCCAGACACCGCACAAAGAAGTCGCATCAGGAGTCTGCAGTCGTCTCCAGCGAAGGGTGATGTCACCCTCCCGTCATCCGTGGAGAGTTTTTGCATCAGGCCGGAGCAACATGTCGGTATGTTAAAAATCAAAATATCGACACCACTGATCATTTACTTTGTTCGGGTTGTAATGGAGATCTATGCAGTGTTTGACCTTGCCATTGAGAACCTCAAAGGTTCCGTGGTAGAATTCCTGAGCATAGACGATGGGCGGTCCGCTGGGGTCGATAGATCCGTCCCAGAGGTGTGCAAGCATCTAGCCATTTCTATACATGATGATTCCCCGAGGCTATCGGCCAAATGGCTGAGTGTTCATGTCCGGCGTACCAGCGTGGAGAGAGACGAGCTCGTACGTACCATCTCCCATCCACTCACTGCAGACTGGCTTGGAAAGTAAGCGCAAGAAAGCGCTCGGTGGATTGACAAAGTACATGTGAGTCCCATCGATGGTGCTGAGACTGAATGCGCTGCTCGTGTGATGAACCCATGCGGAAAGGGGGTAGTTGTCTCGGGAAATGACGTCGTTATTCGGAAATATGGCCGTGATGGGGCAGTTCAGGGTGGCAATTTCTCTAGAGGGGACGTAGGAACGTACCAACACTATTTACTCTTCGATGTGTTCATCTACTAAGAGTGAAAGGCCCATCTCTCACGGAGGTAAGAACTGCTGCAACTCGAATTCGTCGATAACCTCGGCAAACGTACTCGAGTACTCGTATGCCGCAAACGGGTTGAGGTGTACGCTTTTTGCAAACACCATTGGCGGTGGGCATGCAGAAACAATCAGCCGAGTTGGCTCGCACATCTGCTGCGATCACAAGTAAACACATGTCTCGAAGGCAACAATACTTCCCATCGAATGACCATATACTTGAAACGGTCGGGCTTTGCTCGTGTCTACAATATAACAGGCGAGTGTGGAGACTACATGTTGCCATCTCGAGTCGGCACAACCAAGAAAATGGACTTCATGACTCGGGAAAATATCAACCCATCATCAAAAGTATCGAGAGCCAAAGCCAAAAGGTGCACATACGTACAACACGCGATCCTGTTCCTAAGCTGGTGAGAGCTATTGGCACTAGAGCACCTCCGCAGGCTATCCGTCATCGACCTTTGTGTCTTGCAACGAAACGAAGTCACAAATGTCACCCATTGTCTCGTACTCAAAGAGGAGAGCCGGGGGTAGGTCCGTGCTCAATTGAGAGTTCGGCTTTGAAAGCAGCTCCGAAGCTCCAAGGGAGTCAAGGCCAGCATCGGCGAGCCGGGTGTTTCGAGAAGGACGAACGCCAAGGGCGTCTTCGACGACCGCGTAAACGCTCTCTTCGATGTTTGTCGCACTGAAAATTGGTCATGAACCTGAATCAAGATGCAAAGTGTCCAATGATTTTCCAGAACGCCAATGAATTGGTCACTTAGCGCGATAGAGGGATAACAATTCGGCTGTGGCCGGCCCTAGGGCTAAGCCTTGTCACACCACAGCCACGAAAGCCCCGTGCGCGATGGTCCCGCTAAACCCGAACGAGCTCAGACGACCCACCGGTGATTATCGACCGAGGCCTTCAGCCAACACCTCGGTGGGCATCTCGAACGATGTCGACACGATCGAAGACAGGTGCGTGTTCAGCCTACGACCTTTAAGGTTGGGGCGGTTCGCTTCCAAGGGGCGTCAGACAGCCGGAGCTGCGCATTCATAGCGATCAAGCATGTACGAAGGGGTACGAGCACGAGAGAGGCCAACCCAGCGGCAGCCGCCGATGGCTCCAAGTGACCCATGTTCGACTTCAGAGATGCGCACTGTACCGACTGCGAGTTTGTACACAAGGCACCAATAAACGCCCCGACCTAAGACGAAAAATTCACCCACTCATTTGGCGCTTGCAGAAGAGACTACTTCGATCGGATCTCCGAGCGCCGTTCCCGTGCCGTGCGCTTCTAAAGCCCGGTTAGCGGCGTCGCCGTCTCGCACCGTCGAGACCAATCACCTCTGCGATGACCCGTTGGGCGCGGTCAAG